CACCTCATCTTCAAGTATCATTTCATGAGTGAGGAGTGACCCAATTAGCTCTTCAAGAGTTAAGGACGTTAAGTCCTTAGACTCGATGATTGCCGTATTCTTTGATTGCCACGATTTTGGGAGGGAGTAGAATAACTTCCTCACAAGCTTTTCATTTGAAATGATCTCTCCATATGATTTGAGACCATTGACAATCGTTGAAAATCTATACGTCATAGCTTTGATATCTTCATTTGGTTTCATCTTGAAATTTTCATAGCTATGCGTTAGAATACTAATTTTAGATTTCTTTACCTCATCGGTACCTTCATGAGTGACTTGAAGTTTGTCCCATATTTCTTTGGCAGTTGTACACGATGAAACTCTTCCGTATTCATCTGGTCCAAGAGCACAAAAAATGATATGGATGGCTTTGGAGTTGAGCTGGAACATTCTTGTCTCTCCTTCACTCCACAACCTTGGATGAGTGAGAGGTTTGATATATTTTTCTTCTACAGCATTCCATGCTCCCATGTCACTTGCTTGAATGAAGTACATCATTCTATTCTTCCAATAGGCATAGTTAGCTCCATTGAAGAAAGGAGGCTTGTTGACGGGCATCGAGTCGAGACCGGAGTCGAAGTTTGAAGCGGAGGCCATTGATGACTTTGATTATCGATATAACTCTTCCCGAATCGACTCAAGAGGCGATTAAACCTTCAAATGAGTTAGGCTCTGATGCCAATTGTTGAGTTAATCGATTGACAGAATTGGCCAAGAGGGGGGTGAATTGGCAATTAAAAATTTGGTGGAAGCTTTTGCAGAAAATTGAAAGTAATTGCACAACGATTTAGAGTGGTTCGACTTTCTCAATCAAAGTCTACGTCCACTACCTTAGCTATCCACACTAAGGATTTTCCAACAAATTCACTAATTTGTTCTTTCTTTTGAGGCCAAAGAGATTACCTTACAACACCCTCAAGAATATACCCCAATTCTTGAGAACACTCTTTCCCAAAGAGAAGATTACAAATTTGCAAACTTACAAGGAAAACCTCACAAGGTAAGATGTTTGCACAATTCTAGAACAAGAAAAGAACACTCACAAATAATTACAAATGAGCACAAATGGTGTTCTTTGAAAGCAAGATGAATATTGAAAGGAAAATTGGCTTGATTTGCACAAACTTGGTGTTTGATGCTTTCTCTCTTGTTTCTCTATAATTTCTTGCCGATCAAGGGCTTCAGAACTTGTTTAAATACACCTTGAATCACTTATGAACGTTGGGGATGATTAGTGAAGATCATATAGCCATTTTAGTGTGAAAATAATTAATAAAACAGCTTAGAGCGTGGGGGGAATCGGTTCCCCCCTCATAGGGAATCAGTTCCCTAAGTGTAAAATTTAAATATTTCGACCGTTGAACAGGGGGAATCGGTACCCCCTATGGGGGAATCGGTTCCCTCCGAGCATTCTGGAAATCTCGGAGCCAAACCATTCAGGGAGGAATCGGTACCCCCTTGGGGGGAAATCGGTTCCCTCTGAGCAATCTGGAATTTTTGGCTTTGAAATGGTTCGAAATACTTTGAAAGATTATTTTGAAATTGTTTTAAGATTAAAACTTAATTTTACACTTAAGTAAGGATTAAAAATGATTTTTGAAATATTTGGAGTAATGTTTTGATATTCGAATAATTATATCGAATATACTTAGAAAATCATTTGGAAAATCTTAAAATTCATTTAACTTAATTTGTTATATCGAAATATCAAAATGTTTTCAACACTAATAATTTATACTAACAAACTAATTAACTAGATTTTAGTTTTACCCTAAACCCTATAGTAATTTCATATAATAAACTAAATTAAACAATAAAAATTACCTCACGAACTATGTTTGAGTCTTTATCTTCTTTTCTTCTTCAAACCATCATCTTTCTCTCGGCAAAGTTTATATGTGCTTATGCTTATGCTTCTGGTTCTACTTCTACCATAAACCCCATATCATTTATATAAAGCAAATGAGCGTTGGACAGAGTCATTAAATTTGACTGTTGAAGCAAATAATATTAGCATTGAATCGTATAACTATTGAGCATTGAAAGACTGCAATTGAACAACAATATTTGCTGCATTTAGCAGCTAAATTAACGCTGCAATAATGCATCTATGGATGCAACGCATGTAGCTACGGATGTAGGAATCTCCCAGCTATGGATGCAACGCATGTAGCTACGTATGCATGAATCTCCCAGCTATGGATGAAACGCATGCATGAGGCTATGGATGCAACGCATGAGGGATGCTGAGGGTTAAAGCTTGGTCGTGGTGCAGAATCTCCCAGGAGCTTGGTCGCTGGGACTCCATGGCGACCTACCATGTCGCCGGGACTCCATGGCGACCTACACCATTCGAGGTGCATGGCCCATGCACAGCTCCCACATGCATCCCGACCTACACCATTCGACGTGTATGGCCCATGCACAGCTCCCACATGCATCCCACAACTCCCACATGCATCACTCCTTGGTCCCACAGCTCCCACATGCATCACTCCTTGGTCGCCCGGATTGTATGGCGACCTCCTTGGTCGCCCAGAGTGCATGGCGACCTCCTTGGTTGCCCGGAGTGCATGGCGACCTCCTTGGTCACCCGGAGTGCATGTCGACCTCCTTTTATCACTGTAGAATTCACCCTATCTCAACAAATAATATGTCCAAAGTATTATCTCGTGAAATAAAAAGTTCGAGAACATTATCTCGTGGATTTTGCCAGAATCCATATATATATATACATATGATAAGTGTACTGTGTATACTAACTACTAGTTAAAAATGTTTTTTTTAAATAGAGATATTATATTTTTAAAGTAAACGAACCTACATATTATGAGATAATATTAAAATCAACAATGAGACTGCACACCACGTGAGAGGAGTTTTTCGTCGTCATGCTTGTACGTATTAAAAACCGAACCAAAATAGACGAACAAAATTTCAATCTTCGACGATCGGAGTATCAACAAATCACTCTCAAAAGATGAATCGAGAATATGAAAGGCAGTGATAATCCGATGGAAGAAGCAGCAACAGTCAAACTCATTTAGATCGACAACAGATGAAGGAAACAAGCGATTGAGAAAAAACCAATGACAACAAATTAAGAACTAATCGATGTAAGCAATATTCGTGATGGAGATAGCAACTTCAGGATCATTGACGAATGATACTATAATATATAAATTTAGGATAAAATTATATAAAAATATCAATTAAATTGACATAAAGTATAAACGTTAAACGTTAAATTTATTATTATATCAATTAAAATTTTATAAAATTATTGAACATAAATATTATAATTAATTATCTTTAATTACTCATTTCTAAAATTTATATTTTAGAAATATAAATTTACTCCTTTTTTTCATAGAAATGGTAGAATATGTGTTATTTGAATGTTAATATAATCATGTACGGTATCAAGTTATAATTTAGAGTCCGTCCGTTTGACGTAGAATATTTTACGGAACCAATTTCCTTATTTGCCCGAAAAAGATCTAATCAAAGTAAAAGGTTTTTCAATCAAAGGAAAAGTATTTTCTTTCACGTACAATGCCTTACGATTCGTAACTTGTAACACGTGTTTTTATTTCGATTTATAACGTTCTTGTTCTTTAAATTATCACCGACAATTTTCTCTATTGCGCCGGCGTCGATACTTCAGGTGAGTTGTTGTTATCGTTGAACATTTCTTCTGTAATAGTCTCTTTTCTTTCTTAATGGTATTTGTTTTATATATTTATTTTGAAATATGATATTGTTAACGGATAAAAATAATGTTTTTTAGTGGAAATTATTAGGATCATATGAGCAAATTATTTTGATTTTTGTTTTGCAGAATTGCTCTCTATTAAAGAGGCTGTTCTTGTATTTGTTCCTCTAATTGCAATTTTTTCAGTAAATTTTTTATTTGTTTTTCTCGTGAACTTTTAACAATTTCAATGTAAAAATCAACACATCAGTTATATATATTTTTAAAATTAACAAAACTGCTGACATGTCATTTATTTTAATTTTTTTCAATGTTGGTGTGACATTATCTTATGATGACATATAAACATCACCATTAAATTTTTAACAATGAGATACCAAAATGAAACCTAAACTAAATGTTAGGTATGATTTTAAAAAATATAAAGTTTGAGTACCAAAATGGAACAAAAATAATAATTTAGGTACTAATCATATAGTTTACCCAATATATAATACAAATTTGGGTGGGAACGCAAGTCTGCATGCATAGTGATGAATTTCTCACCAATGCGTATACACCCGTCAGGAAGTTTGACACGTGTGATCATTTCAGTGGTATGCGGCTGCCGGTGCTTTGTTCAGGCGAGGAACATCAGCTCGTGAGGTCTGCTATGCAACCATCTTCACGGCCATCATCATCAAACTGATGTAAGCTTCATCTTCTGCCACACGCCCGCACTTTGGTCGGCGGGAAAGGTACGATGTTTTTGGCGGTTACTTTTTCCAGCATTAGGACAGAAATATCCTTGTCTTCATCGCATTATTTACATCAAAGCCACTGGTTAGTTCATCCGACAGATTTCTCTATTAAGTTCCCCATTAGTTCTGTTTAAAAAAAAGGTATATGATTCTGTTTAGAAAACCATTGAATACTCGAAAATGAGTTCAAAATATGAGGTTCACCATTTCGCTCAACGGTTGCCAGTGAAACCCTTTTACCCAGTCTGTATACCCTTTTTAACTCGTTTTCCTTCAAAACTCGTTGGAAACAAACATGAGGAGAGTAACTCACTAACAACCATTTGCAGCAAACATTGTTTCACATGCTTATAAACCCTTATTCTCCATTTTTTTTGTTATTTACTTATTTCCGGACCAGATCTTCGTCCCCACAACTTGTTCACTTGTTTTTTTGGTTCTTCAATCTTCCTTGTCTTTTTTTTCTTCTCATTTACGGTTCCTGTACTTTTTGTTCCAGTACGATGGATGTAATGAAACATGGTTTGTCGGAGATATTGTCCCCGGGCGGAAAGGTGGTTTCGAGGCTTGTCTGGGGGTTGGTGGCGTCTCTTGTAGTACTCACCGCCCTCTTGCTCAACTCTCTTAAAGGTCCTATTATCGTGGGGTCTTTCTTCCAAGGGTCTTATAGTCCGAACAATACCACCGCCGTCTCACTTCGTTCCTCGGTTGCCGAGGCACCGCAGCAACTGCCTGTTGTCGAGGGACCGCAGCAGACGCCTGTTGCCGACGGACCGCAGCAGACACCTGTTGCCGACGGACCGCAGCAAGGGCCTGTTGGCACCGAGAAAAAGATTGAACCTGATGCGTCAAACGTTACAGAAAAGCAAGACATTTTGAAGCAGATTGAGGATAATCGGCCGTTTCTGGGGAACCCCCGGTTGGGAAATTTATCTGAGGCAGCAAATAATGGAACTTTGGTTGGTGGAAATGCGAATGCAAACAATGAGGGCAATTCGTCGAGCAAAGAGGAAGTTATCGGAGAAGATAAGGCTATGGAATTGAATGATCCAAGGCATAATGATACTTTCAAGACATGTGATTTCTTTGACGGTAAGTGGGTGAGGAATGATCGTTGGATGCCATATTATCGGCCAGGATCTTGTCCTTTCATTGATAAAGACTTCGATTGTCAGCGCAATGGCCGGCCTGATGATGGCTACATTAAGTGGAGATGGCAACCAAATGGATGCGACATACCACGGTAAGGTCTCCATCTTCATGCAAGGAACATGAAGATATAGTTTTCAGTGTTGTTCTTATGCATGAAAAGCGCTTTCAAATCTTTCTTGATCATACAGGCTGAATGCAACTGATTTTCTGGAGAAACTGAGAGGAAAAAGGCTGGTTTATATCGGAGATTCCTTGAACCGGAACATGTGGGAGTCGATGGTGTGTATTCTCCGCCATAGCGTCAAGAAAAAGAAGAGAGTTTATGAAATTTCCGGTAGAACTGATTTTAAGAAACGGGGAGTTTTTGCATTCAGGTTTGAGGTAAGTTTTTTTTTTTTGAGATATTAATGTTGTTTGTGTTACAAAAGCTATACTATCTGTATCTGCATCTTATGAGAACATGTATTTGATGTCCTTGTAGGACTACAATTGCTCGGTGGACTTTGTTTCTGCTCCGTTTCTCGTCCGAGAATCATATTTCAAGCGAGAAAACGGATCAATAGAGACACTTAGGTTGGATCTCATGGATCCGGCAACTTCAACGTATCATGATGCGGACCTCCTGGTGTTCAATACGGGTCATTGGTGGACTCATGATAAAACTTCCAAAGGGTGAGTACACCAGTAAAACCTTGTGTTTTTCTTGTTACATTACCATTATGATGCCATTAACTTCTTTTGTGATCATGCAGCGAAGATTATTACCAAGAAGGCGACCACGTGTACCAGCGGCTCAAAGTCCTGAAAGCTTATCAGAAGGCACTAACAACCTGGTCGAGATGGGTTGACTCGAATGTCGACAGCAGTCGAACTCAGGTTTTCTTCAGGGGATACTCTGTTGCCCATTTCTGGTATGAACCTCTTTTCATTATTGGCACATAGGTTAACATATTACGTATATCATACATGATACATGAGTGTGCAGATATAGTAATGTATGCTACATTGCTATGTTCCGGACTCTTCGTCTTAAATACTCGAGTCTGATCCATATCCGGGTATTGGCTACAGGGGAGGCCAATGGAACTCCGGAGGAAATTGTCACCAGGAAACCGAGCCGATCACCAACGAAACATACTTGACCAATTACCCATCCAAAATGAGAGCCCTGGAACATGTTCTTCAACAGACCAAAACTCCAGTCATATACTTCAACGTAAGCAGGCTCACCGATTACCGAAAAGATGCGCATCCCTCTATATATAGAAGCGAGTACAAGACCGAAGAAGAAAGGAATCGTGCAGTGGCGGTTCAAGATTGCAGTCATTGGTGCTTGCCCGGCGTACCCGATACATGGAACGAACTACTGTATGCTTCATTGCTGAAGGCTGGAAAGGGAATTTGGGGAAACTGAGCAAAACCTACGGCCCTTGATCGAGTTCTATATGTAACTACAAAGCTAAGCAGGTTGTTTAAACAAGAATGATTTATGTAACTACAAAGCTAAATGCGCCATATGTATGTTTTCAAAGACCCGTTTGATTCATAAATCTATAACATAATTTTCAATTAAATTTCAATTAAATTTTTAAGTCATATAGTTTTTTATAATGATATAAACTGTCACGTAATCATCATATATATTAATATTATTTAAGAATTTAATTGGATAAAAAAATATTCATTGTTTAAAAAATGTTTACTAATTTTACTTAATTAAATTAATATATAAGACTTTTAATAAATTAAAGAAATTAACTTTTACATTTGCAAAGGATGAAATATATAATGAAATTATTTGTGTAGAGACAAAAATTCAAGTATGGGTGAAGATTTTTTTTTTATGTATGGGTGAAGATGATTGGGGTATGTTTCAACTTAAGAGTTAAGCCCCAAGCGATAATGGCCCGGTTTTAATCGGCAGTAATTATCATCTAATCAGAATGTACGATATTTAAAGATAAAAAGGCATAAATGAATCCAGAAGTTGAGCCGAGCAGAGAAAAAATGGCTTGCCTTCAACTCTCAGTTCCACTGCTAGCCGGATCACGTCCCAAACTCACTACGGTTCGTTGCGCTAGTGACCGCCAGGAGCTTTTTAACCGCATTGCCCCTGTTTACGATAACGTCAGCCATCTTTCCCCTCTCTTATCAGTTTTTTCATCGATTCTTCTTCTTCTTGTTGTCGTTTTTGACTCTGGGTTTGATAAAATTTTACAGTTAAATGATTTGCTGAGTTTGGGTCAGCACCGTATATGGAAACGCATGGCGGTATCCTGGAGCGGGTCGTATTCAAATTTATCCCTTTTTTTTCTTTTCTGCTTTGTTTCGTGGAATTTTAATTTACTTGGTTATGGAAAAACAGAGCAAAATCGGGAGATTACCTGTTGGATTTGTGCTGTGGAAGTGGAGATTTAACGTTCCTCATGTCTGAGAAAGCTGGTGAAAGGGGCAAAGTATGTTTTGTTTGAACTGTTTTTCGCCATTGTTTCATTTCCAGGGTTTTGCTAATTTTGGCTGGGTTTTCTGTAAGGTAATTGGCCTCGATTTCTCGAAAGAGCAACTATCGATCGCTTCATCACGCCAATACTTGCTTTCAAAGCCTTGCTACAATAACATTGAGTGAGCACTGGTAATTCTTGATGTTAACTAGCCAGTAATTTCCATGTTTATGAAAATGCACATGCTCTTGCGATCACGGAGGTCATAGGTGAAGTATTAGAAGGTTATGTTTTAATGCACATGAAACAATTATAAGTTGTCTTATCATGTCATAAATTTGTGTTTGGAATTGAGTGTAGATGGATTGAAGGTGATGCACTTGATTTGCCGTTTTCTAATGGTTACTTCGATGCCATTACTATGGGATATGGGTTGCGTAATGTGGTTGATAAACGTCGAGCCATGCGGGAGATATTTCGAGTTTTAAAGCCAGGTCTATCCTTTTGTTCATTTTTCTCTTATTGTTAAGTAGATTTCTTGTTTCACCAAATGAAAACTTGAAAATGTTCTAAATTTTGCTTCATTTTTCAGGCTCGAGGGTGTCAATCCTCGATTTCAATAAAAGCGTGCAGCCATTGACAGCCTTCTTTCAGGTATTCCCGGTCATTGTGCATTCATTTTGTTTTTCAGTTCTACACCACTTCCTTGACTTTATAGGTTTTTGAATGTCGTAAAGAGTTGTTAATCGGCGACGAATGTCACCTTCCTCTTATTGCACATCAAGTTCGATACTGAAGTACTCTGTTGACATCAAAAAAATCTTCTTTTGGAAAGGAATGGATGATTGATAATGTAGTAGTACCAACAGCAACAATTTATGGCCTTGCCAAGGAATACCAGTATTTGAAAAGTTCCATTGATGAATTTTTAACAGGTTCGTCTCTTCGTACTGAATCATTTTCTTTTCGGTGATTGTTCATGTTCTAGTTGCCACCAAATTTGTTTAGTATGTTGAGTCTCCTGACTGAGGTGCCTATTAGATATTGGATTTCATTTACGAAAATGAAATTCGTATCACGAAACTATGCAATGATGGTCATCTCATGTCTAGGGAGGATGTAGTACCGCATTCGACTGAATATTCCGTGCTCGGTTGTAGGGAAGGAATCGGAGAAACTCACTTTGGACGCAGGGTTTTCTTATGCCAGACATTATGAGATCGGTGGAGGCCTCATGGGGAACTTAGTAGCCACACGTTAAAGTAGATGCATGCCTTTTCTTTTCTTTCCATTTTCGGTTTTTGGTTTGTTGATGAAGATAGCATCCTGTTGTCTATGAATTCCAAACATTTTCTAAGAGCAGATGTTGTTGGATTGAATCCTTACTGATACCTATCATGTATGGTTGACTAATCTATAAAAACCATAATCCTTATGGTTGCATTATCTCATATTATGACCATCATTTTAAATTGGTTCTTAATTTTTTGAATATTTTAACTTCATCATCAAAATATGTCCCTTATTTTAAATTGGTCCTAAACTTTTGCACATTTTTATTTCATCCCCAAACTATGACTTTCGTTTTGAATTGGTTCCTAAACTTTTGAATGTTCCAATTTCAATTTAAGAGAACAAAAGTAACAACCAAAGGACCTTTTCATTTTCAATTTAAATAATGATTTTAGGGGATGTGATAACACCAACTATTATTTATGTCACGTCATATTATAACATAATTCACATCAAATTTACATGGTGAACTAGTTAACAATGTAACACCCCAACCCGTATCCGACCCGAATACGAGTCCGAGATGTCACATTGACTTTTTAAAATAATTTTCTTACAAAATAACTGAACATTTAAACTTATAATAAGAAAATAAAATAAAATACTATTAAATTATGTTTCATTATAAAAATCTAAGAAAAAAATACGTATTTGTGAACAGTACTATACGTATGAACAGTACCATGAACAATGAAATATTTTTAATATCAATTATGTATCGATGCACTGCTACAGTAACTTTAGTAAAATACGTATAAAATTCATAAAAATCCAAGTTTTCGTTTGTATAAAATTACCATGTACATATACACATTTAAAAACATTACAAAACTCTATCATATGATTTTAACAAAACCGATTAAAACATATCGTATTCAAACCTTTATTTATATGCCAACCACTATCCTTATTACAAAATACATACTATTTAAATTTTTTCTGATCTGATCTTTGGAAAGGAGACTGATCTGTCTTGCTTAGCTTTTATCATTTTTCCTCTTCTCCGGAACCTACGTGTGAAACAATCACACGCTAAGTCGTTGACTTAGTGAGGCATATAAAACATATAATATAACCATATAACATTTCATATAAACAAAAGGCATACATCTGTAAATACTATCATTAATCCCTTTTACTTACAATATATTCATCATATAACACATATATCACTATACCAAGGAATAAACATATCATCATGTAATTTCTATAACATATTTCATATTACCAAATATACATATCACATATATCATTTCACAACAGAACACATATCGTATCATATCAATTGATTTATTTACTCTCTTTAAAGTCTATTGTTGAAAATATTTTGATATTTCGATATAACAAATTAAGTTAAATGAATTTTAAGATTTTCTAAAAGATTTTCTAAGTATATTCAATATAATTATTCGAATATCAAAATATTACTCCAAATCTTTCAAATGTCATTTTTAATCCTTACTCAAGTGTAAAATTAAGTTTTAATCTTAAAATAATTTCAAAACAATTTTACAAAATATTTTGAACTATTTCAAAGCCAAAAATTCCAGATTGCTCAGAGAGAACCGATTCCCCCCTGAATGGTTTGGCTCCGAGAAAAACAGAATGCTCGGAGGGAACCGATTCCCCCCCAAGGGGATACCGATTCCACCCTGTTTAATGGTCGAAATATTTGAATTTTACACTTAGGGAACCGATTCCCCATGAGGGGGTACCGATTCCCCCACGCTCCAAGTTGTTTTATTAATTGATTTCACACTAAAACGACTCTATTAACTCCACTAATCATCCCCAATGTTCAGAATCATTTGAAGGTGTATTTAAAAAAGCTTAGAAGCCATTGATCAACAACAAGAAACAACAATCAACAAGAATCAAGAGAGAATCAAATAGAAAGCATCAAACCTCAAGTTTGGGGCATTTTCAAGCCTATTTCATTCAATATTAATTTTTGCTTTCAAGAACACTTATTGTGCTCAATTGTATTATTCTTGAGTGTTCTTTCTTTGTTCTAGAATTGTGCAAACATCTTGCCTTGTGAGGATTTTCTTGTAAGTTTGCAAAATTTGTATTATTCTCTTTGGGAGAGAGTGTTCTCAAGAATTTGGGGTATAATTCTTGAGGGATTTGTAAGGTTACTCTTTGTCCTCAAAAGAAAGACAAATTAGTGAATTTATGGAAAATCCTTAGTGTGGATAGCTAAGGTAGTGGACGTAGACTTTGGTTGAGAAAGTCGAACCACTCTAAATCGCTGTGCAAATCTTTTCAATTTTCTGCAAAGCTTCCATCGAAATTTTTATTTGCCAATTCACCCCCTCTTGGCCAACTCCATCGATCGATTAACTCAACAATTGGTACTAGAGCCTCACTCATTTGAAGGTTTAATCACCTCTTGAGTTGATTCAGGGAGAGTTACATCGATTTTCAAGTCATCAATGGTCGGTGCTTCAAAATCCGACTTCGGTCTCGATTCGATGCCCGTCAACAAGCCTCTTTTCTTCAATGGAGGTAACTATGCCTATTGGAAGAATATGATGATGTATTTCATTCAAGCAAGTGACATGGGAGCATGGAACGTTGTAGAAGACGGATATATCAAGCCTCTCACTCATCTAAGATTGTGGAGTGAATGAGAGACAATAATGTTCCAGCTCAACTCCAAAACCATCCATATCATATTTTGTGCTCTTGGACCAGATGAATATGGAAGAGTTTCATCTTGTACAACCGCCAAAGAAATATGTGATAAACTACAAGCCACTCATGAAGGCACCGACGAGGTAAAAGAATCTAAAATTAGTCTTCTAACACATAGCTATGAAAATTTCAGGATGAAACCAAATGAAGATATCAAAGCTATGACGGATAGATTCTCAACGATTGTCAATGGTCTCAAATCATATGGAGAGATCATTCCAAATGAAAAGCTTGTGAGGAAGTTAGTTTACTCAATTCCAAAATCGTGGCAATTCAAGAAGACTGCAATCATCGAGGCTAAGAACCTAAAGTCCTTAACTCTTGAAGAGCTAATCGGTCCCCTCCTTACTCATAAAATGATGCTTGAAGATAAGATGGACCTTGATAAGATTGACGAGACACCAAAGGAGAAGGAGAAGAAGAAAAACATTGGAGTTGCTCTCAAATCCACAAAAGATGAGAGTGATTCGGATGAAGATGACGATGACGAGGAAATGACATTGTTTGTCAAACGGTTCAGAAAAATGATGAGACCTTACTGAGGAAGAAAATTCAAACGAAATGAAGGCCTAAAAATGAACCAAAAGAGAATGACCCTATCATTTACTATGAATGCAAAAAGCTGGGGCATGTCAAATATGATTGCCCACAATTGAAGAGAAAGGGTCAATCAAAGAATAAGAACAAGGCTCATGTGGCTACATGGAGCGATGAAGAATGTTCTGATGAAGAGGAACAAGAAGTAGCAAACTTGTGCTTGATGGCATTCGTGGAAGATTCTAAGGTAACCTCTAACTCATTTGAATTAGATGATTTATCTTATGATGAGTTATTAGAGGAATATAATGGGTTGGCTTCGGATTATGAGAAATTGTTTTTAAAATATAAAAATGATGTTTCAAAATTGAAAAATGAAAATAAACTCATATCCAAGACCAACAATGATTTTGAAAGTAAAATTAGTGATTTGCAAATCAAACTAGAAGAGTTTGAAAAGAAAAATTTAAATTTGCAAAATTTACTTTCAAAGGTCAATGATGATCATCAAAAGAAAATTGATGATCTTAAAGCTTCTTTTGATAAAGTTGGAACAAAACGTTTTGAAAATGGAGAAAATTCAAAATCAAACTTTGTTAGAAAAAGTTTTAAAAACTACAATCATAGAGGTCCCCGAAGAACCTCTAATGGAAAAATCATTAGAAATATATGGGATCCTAAAGGACTCATTACTACTAAAGATAAAGATATCCTATACAAATGGATACCTAAGGGGACTAGGATTTTGGAAACTAATGAATATGGACCCAAAAGAATTTGGGTACCAAAACTTAGAAATTAATCTATGTTTGTAGGAAAAGGAGCATTGCTATAAGGCACGGGAAACAAATTCAAACTCATGGTACCTTGATAGTGGATGCTCAAGACACATGACCAGAGACAAAAGCCGGTTCATAGAGCTTAACGCCAAAAATGGAGGAGAAGTGACTCTTGGTGATAATTCAAAAGGTTACATCGAAGGTATAGGTACAATAGATAATACCTCTTCCATACAAATTAGAAATGTTTTATATGTGAATGGATAAAAGCATAATCTTTTGAGCATTAGTCAATTTTGTGATAAAGGATTCAATGTCATATTTGAAACTAATGGTTGTAAAGTTATTGACATTGCATCTAATCGGATTATGCTTGTTGGTCATAGAATAGGAAACATATACATGGTGCATTTAGACTCTATAGATGTGACTAATTTATTCCTAGTTGCTAAGGATGAGCATGATAGTTGGTTATGGCATATGAGACTAGGACATGCTAGTATGAGTGTCTTGCAATGGTTAATTCAAGGATATTTGGTTTGAGGGCTGCCTAAAATAAAATTTGATAATGATAAAATATGTGATGCTTGTGCTAAAGGAAAACAAAAGAGAGTTTCTTTTAAATCCATTAATGATGTATCAACTAGTAGAGTATTGCAATTGATCCATTTAGATCTCTTTGAGCCATCTAGAACTACTAGCTTGGGTGGAAAACAATATGCATTTGTCTTGGTAGATGACTATTCTAGATATACTTGGGTTCTATTCTTAAGTACTAAAGATGAAGCATTAGAAAAATTCATCACGTTTTCAAAAGTAATCCAAAACGAAAAAGGTTACTCTATAACTAGTGTTAGGAGTGATCATGGAACTGAATTTGAAAATCTTAGATTTACTGAATTTTGTAATTCTAATGGTATTAGTCATAATTTTTCAGCACCTAGAACCCCTCAACAAAATGGAGTTGTTGAAAGAAAAAATCGAACTTTAGAAGAAATGGCTAGAACCATGCTTTGTGAAAATAATTTGCCAAAATATTTTTGGGCGGAAGCCACAAATACTGCTTGTTATGTTATTAATCGAGTAATGATTAGGCCT